CTCAGGAGGTAGTGCGCACAATTCAAGATTCACGCGCTGCATCTACCACAGCCCTGTACACATCAAAGTGGACGGCTTTTCAGCGCTGGTGTACAGAGAAAGGTCTGGAGGCCACCTCATGTCCATTAGGTGGCGTGCTGTCCTTTCTTCAACAGCTGATGGATAGGAAGTTGGCATTCAGCACGATTAAAACGTACGCTGCAGCCATCTCTTCCTGCCACGAAGGGTTCGGAGACAGAACAGCTTTTAATCACCCGCTGATGAAGCGATTTCTAAAAGGTGTACAAAGACATAGGCCGGTTTCACGCCCACTCGTTCCACAGTGGGATTTAACGTTGGTCCTGCGAGCCCTGATCAAGGCTCCTTTTGAGCCTCTGGATCAAGTTTCACTTAAATTCTTGTCTCTTAAAACAGCCCTGCTGCTGGCTTTAACATCCGCTAAGAGGGTGAGTGATTTATCGGCCCTCTCTGCCGCTCCGTCATGTCTCAGAATCCAGGCTGACGGTAGTTCAGCTGAATTAAGACCAAACCCAGCCTTTATGCCTAAAAGCATCACGAGCTCTTTTAAATCGAGACAGATATCGTTGGAGGGATTCTTCCCTCCCCCCCACAGATCAGAAGAAGAAGCATCTTTTCATCTTCTCTGTCCGGTGCGGGCGTTATCGTGTTACATAGCGCGCACAGCTGCAATGCGTCAAACTCAACATCTGTTTGTGCATTATAGAGATGCGTCCGCAGGCCGCCCGTTATCCACCCAGCGCTTGTCACACTGGCTGTGTGAGGCCATTTCTGAAGCCTACAGAGCATCAGATTTAGAGCCTCCTGTCAATCTCAAAGCACACTCAACCAGGGGTATCGCATCTTCGACTGCTCTGCATAATGGTATGTCAATGCAGGACATTTGCACTGCGGCTGCATGGTCAACACCATGCTCATTTATTTGCTTTTACCTACGTGATGTAACGGCTCGTTCCATGACACATTCTGTCCTTAGTGCTCTAACAGAATGAATATTGTTGTTCTCATGGAACTCTGTTTTAACTCACATCTGTCTGCATGCATTACAGTGTGAGATGTTGTTATCAGTCACAAGTTGTGTCTGTGATTTTGGTTCTATTGTCACTAATCAGTTCATGACTATTGTTACCAATCAGTTCATTGTTCAATAATCAGTTCATTGATATTAATCTGTTTATACTGTTCAATCATGAATCAGTTGCTTCATGCCCCACCCCCCCCTCCTCTTTTCAATATCTTCCCCGTTGAAGTTTTTTCTCCGGGGCATTCATGCTTTGTCAGAACGCATAGTTGCACAACATGCGTCTGTGTAGGGCACACAATTACGCGATGCGTAGTTATGCACACGGGGAGCTGAGTGACAAGACGTTTTTTGGGCAAGCTTTCGTTCTTACTGTGTTCGAATGGACCCAGTGAGGCGAGGACCACATCCGCTTCGCCCTTAACCCACTAAGCGACAGCCTTAAAGGGCGAAGCCTATATGAAATAGAACGTTGGTTACGTACTGTAACCCCAGATTCTATGAATATAGGCGTAGCCCTTTAAGCGTCGGGCCTCACTGGCTCCTGAATAGCTGAAGAAAAAGATTAAGCTATTTGGGAGCAGATTACCCGCTCTTAATGTAATTTATACGGATCGGGTGTGGCCCACACAGCAGGTGGGCGTGGACTAATTTTTTCAGTATGATGCTTGCGCATAACGGGATAAACCCACTAAGCGACAGCCTTAAAGGGCTACGCCTATATTCATAGAATCTGGGGTTACAGTACGTAACCAACGTTTTCAGGGGAACGTCCAAAGAGACGTTAGTGCAGGGATGTCAAACCCACTTGCAAAAGGGGGCCAAAATTAAAACCTTTATTAAACTAAGGGCCGGTTTCAGAACCTACATTAACTGAAGTTAAATACCCAACATATTTTCTTGGTTGAAGTTCCTCAAAAGACTTTGATTGGTCTCATTTGACTTTCTCTGTTGCACTTTCAACATCATAATCAAAGATTACTGAAAAAAATTAAGTGATTAAAGTATTTTTCATTTAAAATAACATCTTGGGGGCCAGATAAGACGTCAACAAGGGCCACATTTGGCCCCAGGGCCTTGAGTTTGACATGTATGCATTAGTGTATTCATTTGTTTGGGCAACTGTGATCATGGACAGACACTGCATGCATGATGAATGCAGCTGAGCCCTGCATCAGGGTTGCCAGATAAATCTAAAATCTTTTTTTTCCTCCTCCTTTTCTGTGCATGTGTTCACCAAACAGTGCACATCTCACCTTACTCAGCCTATACAATTTGTAAAATTACCATCATTTTAAAGCAACAGTACTACAGTTAATAATTTCTTATCTGGCAACCCGACTGACATGAAATCTACAGCATTTTGTGTAAACCCAGTCTTTTTTGTTTATTACCTATAAACATGGAATAAACACTAATGTTTCTTATGTAAACAGAACCCAAAAGTGATGGCAAACTTTATATATCCTTGATTTTGACTATTTGGAGCCTCCGTGTGTTTCAGAAATGTTAAAAATGAGAAGACTGCAAGTTAAACTTTTTTGCTGTATTTTTTTTTTAGGACAAGCTTGTAAAAGTAAAAAGTCTGTGTGTTAATGCCTATGATTCTGTAAGAGTACAAGTGGATTGAGCATCATTTATTTCTCCTTGCACGTTTAACTACAAAACAATGTAAAAATAATCTTGATTTCCCTTTATATGCATTTTTAAATCACAATATGTTAATTTGTTTTTGCAATCTTTATGCTGTCAAGAAAGGAACTAAAGGGTTAGAGTATGTCACCATCAACCAGTTTCCTAAAGAAATGAGGACACGCCAGAGGTTGGTGGAAATTTAGTCTAAACAGCAAAAAGGATTTAACAACAGGTTGAAAGATTCAGAGAATGAATGTTACTGGCTGCTGTTTCTCTGACTTCAGGCCTGACCCTCCGATGTCTCCTCCAAAAACACAAAGATGAGGCAGACAAAGAGCTGCATGAAACAACAAGCCCCTGTTGCACATAAAGCTTGACCAGGGTGTCGAGTTACAGGATGTTTACGTCACACAGGGAAGGAGACGACAAGTGTGTACCGTTTTTAAAAGTCACGTGCGTACAACAAAACTCCATTTCGGAAACAAAGCCACAGGGAGCAGGTCAGAAAGAAATGGAACAGAAAACAAGACCGGATTCCTGGAAATCATCTTGCATCTGTCCCAGCGGAGAACAGCGAGTCAGGAGGTGGATACCTCATGCATGGAGAGCAGCTGAACTCTCCTCCTGCTGCTGTGGGGACATTAACATTGTTGTTTCCACGTCAACTGTGTTGCTTGGAACTGAAAGCAGCTTTTCAGCTGACTGTGCATAATCTGCAAGGAAACGTCTTGCGGCGTTCATTCATTGTGACCTCTTGATGCCGTTTTAGAACGAGAAACAAAGAACTTGGTTCCAAACACTAAATTTATGATTTTCCTACTTGGCAAGAGACGTACGTACCCTGAAAGAACTTTTTGTTATTTTTGTTGTTAATGGGTTGGAATAATGGGGATCAGCATTGATTAAAAATAGAAAAAAAGTACCCTGAATTCCATGTTCTGATATTTGCTTCCTATTTGAGGTAGACATAACTGAGCTTTTGCTCCAATAAAAGCTGAATGATTTTCCTGATGATTTAAAGACATTTTCAACTACTTAAAACTTTGTTCATGTTTTCAATTACTGTACTTGTATTCCAAAAGTCAACCCATTTCATTCATCATCAGCACATACTTTTTAATTGTATCCGTGTAAAAATGTGTTAAATGATAATGACTATATAGTTGCATTTTCTGTGGTAACAACCACTAAGGTTTATACTATAGCTAGTTATTTAAGTAGTTAAAATTAGAACCACTAAAAAAAAAAATCTAGTAGCGTTTTTAGTATTATATATTGCTTTATAATGTAGCTGTTTTTTAAACATAATTTTCATCCTTTTTTTAAACTTGTATGCCTTCTTTTAAGATTGTCTACTGTTGTCATCAATCTTTGTTAAAAACTGATCTCTTTTGTAAACGAGTCCTCAAGGTTCAATGAGACTAACCTGTATAAATAAAGGTTGAACCGAATAGTACTTTCTGAATATCCTTGAAAAAACAAAACAATATACATGATCTTGCTGCGGTTATTTTAGCTTTTAGCTACAGCTTTGCATATTTTAGCTTTTAGCTACAGCTTTGCATATTTTAGATTCTGCTTTGCTTATTTTACTAGCTTTTAGCTACAGCTTTGCATATTTTAGATTCTGCTTTGCTTATTTTACTAGCTTTCAGCTACTGCTTTGCATAGTTCATCTTTTAGCTACTGCTTTGCATAGT